GTTCTCTCCCCGACGCTCCCTCCCCGTCTCTCCCTCCCCATCTCTCCCATCAATGTTCTCTCCCCGATGCTCTCTCCCCGATGCTCCCTCCCCGTCTCTCCCTCCCCATCTATCCCACCTCCCGTTCTCTCCCCGATGCTCCTTCCTTGCCGCTCCTTCCCCATGCTCCCGCCATGCTTCCCACTCTGTGTGCTGGGGCAGTGCCAGCCCTTACCTTGGTATTATTGACACACTGTAGGCAGCGGTCACGGGCACTGACACTCTCACAGTTGCTGTGCTGGTTACACTGACACTGCACCGAGCAGTTTGGGCCCACGTACCCAAAATGACATTGGCAGCTGTTGGGCTGCACACACGTCCCATTGACACAGCCTTGTTCGCACACCGGCTTACAGAGTCCGAGCCCACTGTGCAGGGTGTCGGGGGTGGGATGGGGGGTGTAGAGAGAGGTGGGAGAGCGGGCAGGGAGGGAGTGAGAGCAGGTTTACGGACAGAGAGCGGGAAGGGGGAGATACAAGGAGAGGGGAGATGGGAACAGCACAGAGAGGCAGAGGGGTGGAGACGGAAGAAGGGGCGGAGACGGAAGGGGCCGAGGAGAGTGGGGGTGAGTTTGAGCAGCAGCATAGGGCGTGGTGGATGGGAGGGTGTGGGATCCAATTAGGGGAGTGGGGTGAGGGATGTGGAGTAGACGGTGGGTGAGGGGGACATATAGGGGTGAGGGGGAGAAGAGAGACAGACAGTGGTTAATCAGTCAGACTGTACAGAGGCTCCATCACATACAATATTGTGGCATGGACCTCTTGGTTCCATCGCACTCTCTCCGCATCTCAGTCTCCGAGCTGACCAAGTGTCGGAAATCCGCTGTCTCCCACTCTCTGTTCACCCAATTCCTGATGGTGTAGGGCTGGGAGGCTGCCTGGAGATAACATTCCCCATCACACTGCGAGGAACAGACACAGTCCTTCCATCTCCCAGCTCCAGACCAACTCCAAATCTAAATCCCCACCTCTATCTGTTGTCCTTTCAAAAACTCTCTCTCTACAATTCAACTCTGTTCCTGAAATTTCACAAAGCATTTATCATAGTCCTCAATAAACATAATCTAAACTTTACAAACATGCGCTCCTGCCCTCCCACCACCTCACTCTCTGCACGTGCACTCACTCAGGCACACTGACTGTAGCACACCAACCCACTCTCTCGCTCTCTCTCTCTCACACACACACACACACACACCACACACACCACACACACCCCCCCCCCCCCCCACCGTATTACACACCCGTTATGCACATTCTGCCTGTCTCGCACTCTCTTTACTCGCTCACTCCCTGTGTCACTCACCTATCCTGCATGTAGCCATTCCGACAGAGACACTCAAACCCTTGCAGCTTGTCGGTGCAGTTCTGGGTGTCGTCACAGTCATGGTGCCCGTTTAAACACTCGTTCTCTGGTGGACAGGACATGAAGGCCCAGCTGCCCTCGGACGCTGGGCAGGTTTGACCACTGTCTGCGAGGGGCACAAAGGAAACCATCAAACACAGGGGCATGCAGGTACAGAATAACGAGAGCTTTCCACTGTCTGAGCCATTCAGCCACCGTCTGCCCCTCCCCCACACTGGATACAGGCCCACCCCCCCCCTGTCCCCCCGCTACACTGGATACAGGCCCACCCACTGCCTGTCCCCCCGCTACACTGGATACAGGCTCACCCACCGCCTGTCCCTCTGCTACACTGGATACAGGCTCACCCACCGCCTGTCCCCTCCCTCTACACTGGATACAGGCTCACTCACCGCCTGTCTCCACCATCCCCCGCTCCCCCCACACTGGGTACAGACTCACCCACTGCCTGTTCCCCCCCCACCACCCCCCCAACCTGGATAAAAAGGCTCACCCACCGCCTGTCCCCCAGCTCCAATCTGGATACAGGTTCACCCACCGCCTGCCCCCTACCCTGGCCCAGATTTCCCGTTGCTTGGCTAAGGATTATAGTGTGAATGGGTACGTACCATCCTGAGGCCCATTCAGGCCGCCCTGGATACACCTGCCGATTCCGTTGAGGCCGCGGGTGGCACACCATCCACAGTGAGAGTGTCGGATACAGTGGGAGCACTGCTGGTAGCTGGCACATGACAGGTTACAGCTGGCCCTCTGCCCCTTCAGCAGGCGGCCACACATCCCAGCAGCACATCGCAGAGGCAGGAAACTTGGGCTCATACACTACGGCACAAGGAGAGCCAACATCAGTCAGTGATGCTGGGGATGAGGGAAGAAGGGAGAGGATATTGGGACGGGGTCGGGGGTAGGGGGGAGGATGTTGGGACGGGGTCGG